AAAAAAAAAAAAAAAAAGCAGTAACATCTTGGTTTTCAAACAGTGAAATTGTTTAAAACACAAGTTGTTTGATTAGAATGATACTCCATTTGCTGTGCAGTAATGAGATCTTAAGAGTTAGTCAAACTGGAAAAGAAGAAAATAATTCAAGGAAAAAAAAATAAGGGAGGGTTTATCTAATGGTGTCCAAAGTGGGTAGGACCAGCTCTAGTGATACACAGAAGTGAGAGATGCCAAGGCACAGAAGTTGGAAGAGGCAGTGTGAATGCCAGTAGGAGGATGTCTTGTTAGATCAGAAATCAGTGGCAGCTGGCTGTTGATAACTGTGGAAACAAAGGAAAAGGGGACTGAGAGATAACCATATTGTCATGTTACCAGGAGTAGGATAGCAGTTTTTTTTGGAGCATTTTGATTCCATGCAGAGTGTAAGAGGGATTCAATTACAGGGAGATTTGAGCTGAAGCCCTTAATGCAAATATCCTTATAAAGCTGATGCCAAACCTTACAGTTTGTTCATATGTCTTCAGAGACAGGATGGTGATAGAGGAATCAGTAGTAGAACAGTAAAATCTTAAATGTAGTTGTAGCAAAGCAGAATTACGGCATTATCTCATGTGCCATGAAGAGTTCCACACGTTGAAAAAAGCAGTGGGGATGAGATACAGTATGAAAAATCATAGCTGCTCTTCCAGTCTCACTTGTGATCTTAATGGAATATGTTTAGAGTTAGAGATGCACTCAACAAATGAAGAAAAAATTACTATATATCACTATGATGTTAGAGTCAAATTAGAGAAAAGGATGTAAGAAGGCTCCCCAAAAATACCAACCTGTTACTTCTGCCAATATCATGACAAAGATAACATCTAACAAAATCTGGTAAAAAGATGCTGACTGCAGAGAAGGCAGATGTTAATAACCAAACAACGATGCAATAGATTCAAGAATTCATCCATTCCTTGGTAATTGAAATAGCAATTTAAGACAAAAAATGTCAAGCAGGTGTGAAAAAGGGAGTTTCTGAAAGGGAGCTTCAAAAGAACAGGTTAGGAGAGATACTTCACTGAGATGATTAAAAACTGGATTAATTAATAATTTAGGAAACAAATCAAGTATAAGTTTGAGAGATTATATACTGTAAGAACATTGACCAATAGCACCATTAAATAGTTTAATCTACTTAAATGGTTTAAATGCAGATTTATTCTTCAAATGTAGTGATAATGTTTTCACCAGGTTACCATGCACATTTCTTACAGTATGGTTTGTGGGATGGTGGTATCCTCTTAAAATGCATCCTGACAGTGATGAAGGCATTCAATACAGGAAACTAATAACTATTGCTATTCATATAGCACTGCAATCTGGAGACAAGTTTGGCAGAACGCTGTCTCTTTTATCTGTAGAACTCAAATTAAAAATCATTATTTCTTTATTTCTTGAAACTTCAGAATATTATCTTCAGGGTAAATAAATATGAAAGCATATCTTTGCTAGATGAAAGTGTGGTGCATCTCTAGTAATTAAAAAAAATATCACTAGAAATCAGTGCATTTGGATTCATCTCTCCCTTATGCTAATAAACTTGTATGAACCACAGTGCTTCAAACTTCTGTTGCACTTTTAAGGAAATAAAGATGGGATTTGTGCAATTCGTGTGCAAGAAGTTGAAATCCCATTGAAGTACTGCTGAAATGATATCTGAGGTACGTAACTATAGATCTACTCAGTCACATGCTGAGTGATGCTGAGTGGTTGCTCAGAATCTGTAGTGTCATCCAGAATCTGGGAAGAAGACTAACTACAGTGTTAGAAGGCAGCATTGTTTTATTCCTTACAGTGCATACCAGCGACTTGACAAGCAAGTGCACCCTCTCAGAGTTCACACTGTACACTTAAACAATTAAGATATGTATATGCAGTGCATTGGCATGCATATTCATTCCTTTTCAAGGACTCATAGATACATGCTAATGTCTCTTTGGGCATGCTCAGTGGTATCTAGGGTGGTCAAGTGCCCACCTACTACTTCCCCATTTTTCACTATCAGTTTCATCACTGAGGCCTATGGAAAATTTCTGTTGCTCATCAGGCCATAGTGTGCAACTTCTTAAAAAGTGTATGTGGAACCTAAAGAAAATGTTCTTGCACCTTTTGAGGCAAAAGATTAAAGTATTCTAATGTGACACCAATGCTTCTTTTGAGGCAAAATCATTGAGGCAAAAGATAAGTGTTCTATTACGTCTGCAGGGCAAAATTATTGAGGAAAATAAGACTATTCACACACTAAAGTTGAAATAGGAAGTTTTAGAACTATCATTTACTGATTTCTCTTGCTAATGTAATATATTGGTTCTCTTGCTAATGTAATATATAGGTATTCCTCTAATGTAGGAATACCTATTGCTAAGCAAACCAACCTATATCAATAGCTAGCATGAAGTAAAACAAAATTACACGTATTTTCTCATGCCACAGAGTGCAAGTGGGGAAATCCTAAAAAAAAAAAAGTTAACAGTTTTCTTCTGAGATTGTGTAATCTTTGAACATCCTATTGCTAAGCAATTTCAAGATGTCTTGAGAGTTAATGAGTTAATGAATTAGTCTATTATACTTCTGTAGTTGTTCCCCACTACTCATGTAGAAAGTAGTTGTCTTTTAAATGTGCTAAAGGCTTATTCTTAGCTTCAGTGAGGACTGTGGAGGTTAAACTTGTTGGAATCCATCGTATTTTTATATAACGCGAGTCTTCTATTGAAGTTATGACACGTTCGGTTTCACATTCTGTAATTTGACTAAAGAAAATGATTCAGAAAATATGAAACCTTTTTTCCTTAGTCATTCCAATTCTTATTGCTTGCAGTACTATCTGAAAACAGGAAGGCAAGAGGAAAAAACGCTTACTGTGTAGCATATGCTTTCAGGCAGAACACAATCAATTGACAAAATATCACAATGTAAAAGCTGATCGGCTAATTCTTCATTTTATCCCATTGACACTAACTGCAAAACACTGTGAATTCCTCAACCAAAGCAGTCTTTGCTGAGTTATTTCAGCTGTAGTCTGTGCCTAGAGAAATGGGAGGCCATTTGCTGTGGTCTGTTGTACCACTGATCTTTTTGCTGCTGGTAAGCGAGCAGTTTTTGATTACTGTCACCTTCAGAGTGAAGATCTCTCTTGTAATGCAACTGATGACGGGTTCTGTATTCCATGAATAAGTGACTCTCTGAATGTAGTCTCCTGTAAGAAAGGGCTTTATTTCTTTTCTCCTTCTGTCTTGTTCGTGCAAGTAAACTGTTCCTTCTGTGGGGCTTTGCTTTTCTCACCCTTAGTGCAGCAAAGCTCAGTGGCTGGTGCTCTCCACAGGGGTCCGTAGCTCAGCTCTGCTGTTCTCTCCCTCTGTTCCTGCTTCTCTGTTTCTTGTTCCCTCCCCTGCTGTGACTAAATAAATTACCTGTATGACATGTTCAGTTTTCTCTGGCAAGGAGCCTGGGAAATCAAATCTGTTCCCAAACCTGGATCTCCCATTTGGCAAATGTAATGCCTCCCTGTTGCTAAATCAGGTCAGCTCTCAGGAAAAACAAAGTACGATTTCATATAGCTATAATTAACACAGAGTAAATTTGGATAATGCAGCTGACATGTTTATTGTAAAGACCGTCAAGAAAATAATTTTGAAAGTATTTGGTTTTTCTCTGTTGCATGAGGATACATGTTGAACACTCTGTTTATAGAGAAGATTAAATGTTTTTCTCAGTTATCTCATATCAGTGAAATAAATTTATTTTCTGTCTGCTCTAAGAAGCTATTTGGTTAAATGATCCATTGGTTGAATTAGGTGCAGTTTTATGCATTCAATTGCCATGACTTTATAAAAATCTATATTAATTGATAATTAACAGCTAATTATTATTAATTATTCATAAACTCTCCCTCTCCTTTGGCTTTTTGACCTCTGAACGTGGAGATACAAATGAAAATGTTAGAAAAGGGAGGACAAAAGAACCCTTCCAGTACTCTGTTGTTTAAAACAACTGGAAATAGGAAAATAGTTCATTTTTCTATTTATGCTCAGTCTGTTTCCCCCAGAGAGCTGAATGCTGAGCAAACCCCCAGCTCTCTTCAAGGGAGGAACGTGGTGAGAAGCACTGGGCTCCTATGCGAAGGCTTGTGGCTGCTGAGAGCTCCTGGGATGTGCTGTACCACAGCACTGACAGAGTAGCAGATGAGCTGTGCTGAAAACCTTTTCCAGCCCCAGCTGAAGTCAGGCTCACCCTGAGGAAAAGCAAGCCATGTGTGAGTAGGCCAGGCCGCGGGGCACTGCTGCTGGCATTGCCCATCCTGCCAGGCTGTGCTGTGAGCTTGGTTTTGCTTCATTCTTGGAATTGAACGGGCTGAAATATCTATATCTATTTTTCAGTGGTACATGCTTTCCCTGATTTTTCTGAAGGGAACTACAGTGTTACTAATAATTGTTTAGTCATTCCTGAATTGCCTTTCTTCTGATGAGCACTTTTGTTCTTGCTCTGAGAGGCACTCAGTGAGTGTTTCTTCATCAATTTAAAAATTTTTCAAAGCTCCGTTGTTTAAAACAAATCCTTGGAACAAAAATTACTCTTTGTTATCCAAAGCCCACTTACAGCGCGTGCAGCAGAGCGGGGAAAGCAGTGAAGTGAGTTGTAAAGATCTGGAGTTCGGTTCCTGTCTCTGCCCTGCAGTGAGAGCCACAGTCTCCATTTAGATTGGCTTTGGTATGAAGAAATGGCAGCAGTAATGTTATCTTTCCCCAACTTAATCTTATCTGTACAGACTGAAGGTGCCTACTGTAAAGATACAGGATGATCTCTGAAAGGCTTCAGCTGATACTGTAACAGAAATCTCTTCTACTCTGTCTTAATGGCAAGGGCAAAGCCTGTCACATCCCCTTCCTGGTGCGCAAGTCAGTCAAAGGAATTTCTGAGCCTGCTCTAACCCACCTTTTATTTTTTGTCTTCTGCAGCCTGCGACCTGATGACCTTGGGGATCTTAGCCTTGGTGACATCCACAGGTTGTGCCTCAGCCAACGCCCTGCAGTCCCTGACAGATGCCATGCACATCCCACATCTCTTTGTGCAGCGCAACACGGGAGGCTCCCCACGCACCGCCTGCCACCTGAACCCCAGCCTGGAGGAGGAGGAGTACACGCTGGCTGCCCGGCCGCCGGTCCGCCTCAATGATGTTATGCTGAAATTGGTCACTGAGCTGCGCTGGCAGAAATTCATCGTCTTTTATGACAGCGATTACGGTGAGTAAAGCGGAGAATTTCAGACGCTGTTAAATTTAACTAGGAAAGGGAAATATAAGCGTTGGGGGGATAGAACTTGCTGGGCCCCTCGCTGGCAAAGGGGAAAGTGTTTTAAGTGACACAGGTCTTTGGTTTGAAGGAAAGATTGCAGTGAAAACTAATTCTCAGACAAGCAGCAAAGTTGCTTAGCAACACCTACAAAGAAAGCCAAAGTTTGAATTATCTCACACTTCTGAAGTAAAATATTAATAAAGCATTGTTATTGATTGGCAAGGGTCACATAGCTGTGCAGGGAAGTTCAAGATGGCCTCTGTCCATTCCCTGAAAACTTTCTGTCAAAGCAGAGTACTATTCCCTTTAAGAATCAATTTTCAAAATAACTATTACCATATTTTTTTCAAACATGCTTCTTCTTACTTTTCTAAGTTTGGAGTAATTTTCACAGCGTTATGTTTCCTGGAATTAACCCAAAAGTTAGAGTTAGCATTTTCACTATGTCTGATGCACTTTCTTCAGCAAAGTTTTTACTTTGTGCCGAAGCATAGCAAAAAGAAGTCTCTGCACAAGGAAATTTAATACCCTTTGAGTGTAAAGAAGCAATAAGAAAAAATATAAAACTCAGTTTGTGCCAAGCTCTGAGTGAAGAGAAGTATGTGCCTAGCTTTTTATTTTTATTTTATCCTGCTCAACTGGTAGGAACATTGTTCCATGTGATTAACTTAGAGTATTTTCAGTACTCTCATCTTAGGATATGGCATCCGTAATGGGGAAGATAAATTTTCTATTGAATGTTTTAAAACCCTGCAAATACTTCGTGTTTACGATGTGATGTGTGTGATTTTTGGTGTGGTGACTTAGTATGAAAAGAATATAAAAAAAAAAAGTAAATTGAGGTTAGATTGCTGTTCGAAAGATAATCTTATGTGCATCTCAGTATACAGTTTAGATTCTTTACACAGTCTTCAGCAATTGCAGTGTAGCTCTGTATTTGTATTATTGCTATGTAATGGAGATTTTTCATGGATGAATCAATGAAATATTTGTTTTGTTAGTTTGGGCCGCTCGTGATTTAAAAACAACAAGAAAAGAAAGCTACACAAGACGTTGACTTTTGTCTTTAGCTGTTTATTCAACAGCCAAATGGAAGTTCGTGGTGATGATTTTAAGTGGGAAATCAGTTGAGGCTCCTACCTACTTTTAATTACACACAGTTATTTTAAGCATGAGAAGGTTGCTGTGGTACTTGTACAGAGGTAGTCAGTTAACTCAAAAATGTGGGAGGTCCAGCAAATAAACTGTTATTGACTTACTGTCCTGTGTAATCTTTGACCACTGAACACTGGAAACAAAACCAGCACTGTAAGTACATCCCAGTAGTGATTACCATGTTGCTATGTAGCAGGGGGTTAAGCTTAAAATTAAAATTGTTCTAATGGTAATTTTCAATAAGAAAGGGTTTTAGAAGGATTCTTTAAGCATCATTTTCATAGTTGCTGTTCTGTCGTCCCTTCTAATCTGTAGCTTTTGCTTTGCAAGCCTGAAAGAAATTAGGCTGCTTTACTCAAAAATCTTCAAAGGGGAAGGCAGTTTCATACCCAAAGAATCCTGGCCTTGGTAAAACCACAGATAATCCTGTGTAGAAACTGCTATCGCCTATTTTCCCTGGTAGCAAAGCTGGTTACTGAACTATACTACCTCTTTTTCCAATAATGCGTCTGTTTCTTTGCTCTTGGCAAGGGGTTAACGTCTCAGTATCAAATCCTGAAGTCTTTAATTCTCATAATCTGTAAATTCAGATATCAAATTTACCTTTTCCACTTATCACAGATAGACTTGTCACCCATAAAACAAACAGTGAAAGGGAAGGAAAGATTACCACAGGTAGTATGTTTGTATCAGTGGAGAGTGCTGTGTATACTGTAGCTGTCCATGTATTATTTCCTTTGCTATTCATCATGGATGGGATATCCACTTTATACTAATTTCATCAGAAGAACTTTTCATAAGATGGCATTTCAATAAAGAAGCATTTGGTAATTGAACCTTGCCAGCTCTGGGCAGGCACTGGTGAGTACTGGATGAATAAGTTAGTTCCCAGGAAATTGCATGCTGAGCTCAAGAACAGCACCTGGCTCTCAGGGCATGCCCACTGCCCTCATTAGTTTGCTTCAGCAGAGCTGTGCTCAAGCATCTTCAGTGGCACTTCCCTGTTCAACATGCAGGAATCGACTGCTGGCCCTGAGGAGGGAGGTCACTTGAACAACACGTGTTAGTGATTGTGGAGAGTTTCCAGCATTGGGCTTTTGTTGTTTAACAAATAGACCTTCTCTACCTGCTCTGTGGGAGTCACACTAGTCCTTAGGGTAATGTTTTTAATTTGTCCATCTGCTGATCTCTAAAAAACAGCCAGTCTCTTGGTGTCCTCCTTGTGGAAAGTGTCAGGGTTTCTGAAGATGAAATAACACTGCACAGTTTAAAGGAATCTCGTTTTATAGTAATGCCATGCTATATGAGAGCTGAAAAACATTTACCTCATGAATTACTCATCCCTTAACAGACATGCATTTTGTATTATAATTTTTGCACTAGTAAATAAAGGGAAAATAGCAGTCTTAGTGATCAGAATACAGAGTAGTCACTGTATCATTGAACATATATATTAATATATTTTTACTTATGATAAAATATTCTTTATTTGACGTTTTTGTCACTGGAACAACAGATAGAAATCTGTATGCATAACTTCAGTGAAAGAATGTACTTCTTTCCCATTAGCATGCCTATAATTCTGGTTTTGAATCTATAACAAAAGATGGAAAGATTTCATATGGAAGATGCAGAAATTTTAAAGAAAAGGATTGTTAAATGGAGAAGGTAGAAGCAGGGTTCAAACTGTAATTTCCCCTTACGTGAAACCAGCTTTAGATTTTGTTTCTTTTTTGGTGAAAAAATGGATAAAAACTTGCTTCTGGAGTAGTGACCTTTCAGAGACTTCAGATTTGAAAGCTGTAGCATTCAAGCTCTTCTTCTCAAAGACACACTGATCTGCTGAGTGGGAGTAAGGCAGTTTATACATAGCACATGGTTCACCTATATTTGTATAATGAAAAATAAGGGTTCACAGAATAGCAGAGAGGTTTCACATAGTGGATCTTCATGATTCAGTCTGTGTTTTATCACTTCTCTCATTAACAGCTTGTGTGTAATTTCAGAAGAGGCACAGAAATCTACTTCCTGTTGATTGCAGTGGGAGCTTTCTGCTGGTGAAACTGCTGCTTGATATGAAAATGATGATGAGGGCCTATAGTAACTCTCATAAGCCATAGATAAGACAAGTCTCCTTGCTGATGTGCTGTACAGCTGTTGGAGTTGGAATGAGAGACTGAATCTCTTCTCTGCCACAGCTATCCTTTGCTGTGTTGTCTTGAGAAAGCTGTGAAATGGAAAGAAAAACCTTCCCAGTGTGCCTGAACCTGTGTTTGGAATTTCTTTAGAAGGTTTTTAGGCAACAAAATTAAATGAAGCATTCTGAAGGGGAAGTCGTTCCAGTAAGAACTCAAAGGACTGGGTCTTATTAAATGCATTGTTACTCTGAAGGCTTTTATGAAAATGCCACACTAAATCATGGTATCAGAACTCAGTTTTCTGGGGAAAAGTGAATTAAGTTTGTCAGTGACTGTCATACAGTGCTCTGTGAAACTGAATCTATCTACCTGTTAAAGACCTTGCAATAGCAGTCAGCTGTGTTGCATTGTCCTAGAAAGTTTCAGCTGTGCTTATGGCTTGAATGCTTTTTTGTCTACAGAAGTATCTTTTGTACTTCTGAGCATATATATTACATCAGTGTGTAAAGGCCTGCTGAGAAGTTTAATGTTTTATTTTACTGACCTCCTGGAAGTAGAAACATCAGTAATTGCATTTTCTGACACAAAAATTGGTAGTGTGGCAACTTTAATAAAGAAACTTATCAGGCTCTAAAATGAGTATCGGTTAAAAGCAGTGGGTGCTTCCCACAGTAAGACGAGATTGGGTAATAATGAGTTGAAAGTGTGCATCTAGGGTAAGTGAAGAGCTGTAGATTCAGAGGGAGGATTTGAGAAGGATCATGAGAGCTAGATGTGAAAATGAAAGCAGTGAGGAATAGGAAGTCATGTTTCTGAAGAGAACGTGAGTAATAGCTTTGTTTTTGCTGGAGTAATCATAGTATTGGAAACACTTTGTTATGAGGCCTCTCTGCTTTCCTTCATAAACATATTACACACTGTAAAACAACACGGTTAATTTTTTATGGCTCCATTTTGTTAATGAAATGATATTAGACTTGTGTAAGGTAAGCGTTCACTTTTTGGTCTCACGAAGTGACAGTGTTGCCTGGTTAAGAGTAGTATTGTGAGAAGATACACAAAAGAAACATTTGAAGAACTTTAGTCTGTCAATGAAGCTCTGTTCCTACAGGGAAAGAAAACAAGCCAAAAGCCAACCAACCAACCAAAAAAAAATCTTAAACCTAGAATTTATTGATTTATCTTATTTTCAATGTCTGAACTTTTTTTTTTTAAGACTGAAGATATTTTTCTCATTGCACTCATGAATGCAACAGTAACATGAAAGCTTCTGTATTAATTGTGCTACGTGGAAAGGACTTGGTTTTCAGTGTAGTGACTCCCAGAATTTTTTCTTTCCTACAGCAGTTACATGGTAGTTTTATTTCTGAGTCACAACTGTCAAGGGCATTTGATTGCAAGTTATAGGAATTATGCTATCAATAGCTTTACAGCTAGCTATTGATCCTGAGATGGTCTTATGTAAACAGGATTTCTTGCAGGCCACTACTTCTTGCAGAACATGATCTGCAATGGAAAATAGTAATGAAAATTGAGAAATGCGTATTTTACGCAATCCCTATCTGTAATGCTGCAAATCAGTTGTGATGTGAAGCACTGGCTTCTTTAATGCAAATATAGGGAAAATGGCACTAAACAGGTGCAGCTGGTCCAGAA